CTCCCTCTCTCTCTCTCGTTCTCTCTGCCTCTCCCTCTTTCTCGCTCCCTCCCTCCCTCCCTCCCTCCCTCACTCTGAGGCACTGCAGTAAAGTCTGTTGATAGGATTGAGGCGGTTTTCTCTGCGCTGACAGAGAGAGAGAGAGAGAGAGAGAGACTGCAGCATGCTGCATTGCAATCACACTAGAGCACATGAGAATCTGCCCACAAAAGCACACGTGTGCATTCATTCAGCCGTTGCATCCTCCGCAGCACGATGTTTGCAAATGCGTGAGCTCATTCAAAGAGGGTAACTTGTGTCTTTAGGTGACTAAATCTGCTGTCCCCCCCCCAACATATACGCACATCAGCGACTCCTCCCACTCCTCCTCCGAACCCCCCATCCACCCAGGTCGACAGCAGGACGGCGAAGCGATTCCGGGCGCAGCGCTGAAACCAGAGCTTAGCCCCTGACGTGGACGCAAGCAGGCGAAGACGCAGCTTTTGGTTCTCATGTGGCTTGAAGGATTATAATGCAGTGATTTTTTTTACAGGAAACAGCCCCACCGAAGGTTTCTGTAGGAGACCAAGCGCTTTCAGTGGGTGTCTGACTTGCGTGTGTGCGTACCGGTTGTTTTTTCTGAGCCGTTGGACTGACGCACGGATACTGCAGCAGAACTGCAGGGGCCTGGACGCTAACCTGGAGGACATGAGGACCCAGTGGTTCCCCCACCCCTGAGCTCCAGACCCCACTGCTGCTGCACATTCTGCTGAGGTGCTGCTCTCTCCTCTGCTCTGGACATTTTTGGGATGTGTGTGTGCTGGTGGTGCAGGTGAAGAGGTTTTTCGTGGTGCTGCAGTGTTGTATTGATGTGGAGTGTACAGGGCCTGGTGCTGTGTGTGTGTGTGGAAATGATGGCTAAAAGATTGTGACAGAGTGTGTATGTGTCGTAGCTGTCTGCTGACTGCTCTGTGCATGTGTGTGTATGGTGTAGCTGAGCAGAGCTCCCAGAGGCCGATAGGATGCTGACAGCTCGCGATGGAGCTCGAGATGAAGCTCAGAAGCTGCACAGGAAATGGATGAAGCACCAGGCCTTCATGGCCGAACTGGCCCGTAACAAAGAATGGCTCGCCAAGATCGAACAGGTGAGTCACAGGCGACGAAATTAAAGAAATGGGATGGTGAGAAGAAGGGAAAAAATTTATATTTGGGTGGGCACTTTGTACATAAGGTGCTTTTCAGGTAACTGCATGGGCTCTGACTCCTTTCCAGCACATTGGCTTTATGAGCACAGTTTCTTCGTAAATATATATACATTTATAAGGATGTGTTTTTATTTTAAAAGAATTAAATTTTTTCAGCATTGATGCATTAAATTGATCAAAAGTGTCAGTAAAGACATTTATAATGTTACAAAAGATGTATTTTTTAAATACATGCTATTCTTTTGAACCTTCTATTCATCAAAGAATCCTTAAATGGTTTGCCCAAAAATATTAAGCAGCACAACTGTTTTGAAAATTGATAATAATAAGAACTGTAAATCAGCATATAGAATGATTTCTGATGGATCATGTGTCTCTGACATCTGGAGTAATGACTGCTGAATATTTAGGAATAAATTGCTTTTTAAAATATATAAAAAACTGTTATAATATTGTAATAATATTTCACTATATTACTGTACTTTTGATCAAAATAAATGCAGCCTTGGTGACTTGGTGTCTCTTGGTTAATAAATGTAAATGCTGTTCCTAGACCTTACTTTTATCCTGGGAATTGTGGAAAACATTACTGAGCCAGTATGAATTCTCAGTTGAATTTAGAGCGCATGAGATGTATGAAGGAAATAAGACTTGTGTTAAAAAATTAGCTGAAAACTGAGAGCAGATTCAGGATCTGTTGAGGGAAGATTCAGGAATGGTTTAGAATGAATTGAGAAAAGATTCAGGATTGGTTGAAAAAAGATTTTGGATTGAAAATTGATTATGAATGGGCCGAGTACAGATTTAGCTTTGGTTGTGGTTTAGTTGAGGGCATTTGGCCTTGATTGAGGATGAACGGAGAATAGATTTGAGGCGAATGCTTGATGGTTGGTTGAGAATGGGTTTAGAACAAATTTGGGGTTGATTGGAGATGAACTGATGACAGATTCTGACATATAGGTGTAGACTTTGGGATGTTTATTCAAAAAGGAGTGAATAGTGTCCTCTGTAATCATGCATGTTTTTTTTTTCTTAACCCAGTGTTGAGATAAGTAAAAAACCCAAAATTGCCATAGATTGCAGGAAATCCAATGTTTGTTGAAACAGCAAATTTTCGATTATGCAACCTTCATCAGGCATCTAAAAGCAGAGACATGGCACACATAGCAGTGTGCAGGATTTCTTCTTCTCTCTTCGTTATATTTCCCATGTCCAGTGTTTCTACCTGAAACCATTGAGGCATTTGAAGCATGTTTTTTATTGTTGTGTATTTAAATCAACAAATAAATTTAGTATGAGATGCCATGCCAGTAAATAAAGCAAAAAGATTTTTCAGTCAATTTTATTTTTAAAGCACAATAAAAACAACAATCGTTGACCGTTGTGCCAAACAACATCATATAATAGTGCTAAATAAGTACTTCCATATTTACTAATTAATAACAAGGTTAAATACATTTTACATATATTGTTTTTAATGGGTATTGGATATGTAGGTGTGCATACTCATTTATACAATATACCATTTTTTATTTTAGATTACTTTTGCAGTCATCTAATTTATAGATGTAACACTACATTACAACTACAGTTTCACAGTTTCTTGAAGGATGCTATCTCACTTTTATAGAACATTTCACATTCTCAAAATAAATGGCTATCCATATTGTAATGTTGTGATGCTTACATTCGCTTAAACACCAAAACACTGATCTGACATTGATGACAAATGTTGATTTTAGATTTCCGTGTGTTATTGGCCTTGTATTAATTATCAGCCAATTATCAGCTTATTGGTGTCAACTAGAATTTTTAAATTTTCGGTGTGTTCCCATTTAAGATCTTATTTCTTATCTTTTTTTTTAAATGTCACTTGCCATTAAATGTTATATAACATGTTCGGTTTCAGTTGGTCTATGGTGCCTTATGATGCCCTGCAATACAGTATTTGATCCCAGGTGACCTGTTCTGATCCGGTACATGCTGTCCTGAAAGATTGCTTATCATGGCCTGATACACAACAGGACATCCCGGTGCAGCTGTAGTGTGATGGCTGGGTTTCCAATGGCACTGTGAAGTGTCTGAAACCATAGAGCACCTTGTGTGATGGCAGGGACATTAATATGATTAGTATCATGTAAATCAGTCTAAAGGTGTGATGGGTATTAATGGGATATTTGCTAGTATTGCTGATCACAGAAAATGGCAAGGAACCATGACATGATGCATTGTGTGTCGCTGTATGACTGCGTAGATGCCGCTACTGTTCTTCTTTCATGTTGACAGTGGGTGGAAAGCTGAGAATCAGCCTCACTGATGTGCTAAATGTTGTGCTGAATTGTCTCAAAAATACGTACAATACCGAAACCAAGAATTAAACTGTGCAAAATATGAATTCATTATCTGAATCCATGAAGTGGCATATGTGTGTGTGTGATTTTATGGTAGATGTATGATGCTGTGTGGACCGAGATGCTAGTATGTGGTAGTGTTGCAAGTGTGTTTTCTCTATTTTTGTGTTATATTGCGGTTGTGATGGCAAGAAGATCTAAACATAGGTGAAGGAGCTCTTCCACAAAGGTTTCTGTCTTAATGGAATAGTAGTAAACAATCCAGCTCTGACTAGAAATTTCAGATGCATTTTGCTGCATTAATGATTTGGTTAATAATATCTCAAATGCCTTGTTGCTGATTCGTCACTGTGTTCCTGTGGTGGATTTGTACCGCAATACTCTGAATTACAACATGTCTGAATGTCTTATTAGATGTTGTGGGCCTGCTATCTTTCTGTTTTGGCCTTGTTTTCTCTTCTCATGTTTCTTCCGTGTATGACTGAATGAAGTTTGGTGCTATTTATACAGTTCTCCAAGGAATAGATGATGTAAGATTCTAAACTCTGTAGCCTTTAGGCTGACTGCACTACTTTGTAATAATTAAGCTAATCTTTATTCAAGCTGATTTTAAATGTCACTCATGTGTATTTTCTGATGCTTCTGTGTCAGAGCTTGCCTAGAGGAGAAGCCCTCTTACTGGAATTATTAAAATCAACGATTAGTTTCCAGGCAGCAATCAGACTGGTTTATACTCTTAAAAAATCTTGTCATATGGCAAGAAATACTGGTTCCGTTAATAGAGTTCTTTTTAATGTATGTGACATAGGGATGGTAAATATATATTTTTTAATCAGGCAGACAGAAAGATCAGCATTTCAAACAAACATACATTTTAGCATGTATATTCAAAATGTTTAAAGAATTTTAACCTAGTTAAAAGAAATAAATAAAGGCATGTTTCCACACTGTTTTTTTCTAAATATACAGGAAAAATTATATTTATATTTGTATGGATATTGGTATATTCATTTTTATTTATATTTACTTTATATGCATATAATTGATAAACACAAATACAACATTATTATTTATTTATTTATTGCTACAACCTTCTAATCCCATACAATCAGACTTAAATGAACATAAGTATTGAAACATCTTTGTCTTAACTTTGTCTTAAGAAGAATTGCTAGTGTACTAGCCTAAGGACGTAGCTAGTCTTTGGCAAATGTAATTTACAATTAAAAAGCATTAAGATATCATCACAGTATTGTCTGTGTTGCATAAATTGTTATCATTATAAAAGTCATTTTGAATATATTGTGAATATTCAATGGATCGCCCAGCCCTAATGTAACATGGATCAGTGTCAGATCATGGTTTGGGAAAGTGGAATATCATTAAATGGTGCGATTCTTTCTTTTCTTGATCTGTAAATGCCAGTGGAAATCAGCAGCTTCTTGGCTACTCTATGTGGATGTGACTGTCATGTATCTCCAGGCCTTTTGTGAAACTTGTGATTAATGTTGTTCTGGTACTTCAGTGCCAGTGTTTCGTAAAGCTTTATTTCGGGTGATTTCAGTGGACCATATCAAACATGCAAACCAATCTCATGAGTGAAATAGCTTTTTATAATCTGAATCCTGCAGTGAATTAGATTCATCAGCATATGCATGGGCTTATGTGTATATGTTGAATATTTGATGTAGAAAATATTTTTTTCCCCCCACTAAGTCAAGTCAAAGTTTTATGTCTTTGCGCGTTGTGCGTCTGACTTTGAATTGTCAGATGTTTGCTGGTTCTGTTCAGTTTGAAGAAGGAGAGTCTAATTCTGCTTTCTGAGCAATTTGCAACATGCTTCCTTTTCTCTCCCTGTTCTTCAGGATTTTGTTTCAGGACTACAGCTGTCAGAAATCTAGGACCTATTTTACAGTTGTGCAGGTCATTGTAGAATTTAGAATTCTTTTATTTCATTCTGTAGAATTCTAGATGTCTCTTTTTTTTAATGAACCAGTGTTTTTGGAAAATTAACATTTATATGGAATATGATTGGTTCAAATAATAAAATCAGCAATTTAGTTACGCTGATACTATTCAGTAATATTCAATCATTCAATTGTGAGCTGCGTGAGCTGAAGCTGAAGAGTGAATGAACACTGGTAAACTGAAGCACTTTACTAACGGATTAAATAACTCAAGCAAACGCATCCTATATAAGATCAATCAGCTATGTATACAACATTACAACTTACATTTTCACAAATTAACGTGCAATTTAGGATTGTTGCGCACATTGTGGATGCATATGCTAATGATGTTGTGATTAATGTTAATTCTTTGACAGATTGGCGGTGCACATCTTGCACTCAAGTTTAATTTCGTCATCAAAGAAAAATACGTACTTTAAAAGTCACCCGATCATTGTTTTTACACTCTAAAAATCGCTGGGTTAAATACAACCCAGTGCTGGGTAAAATAGGGACAAACCCAGCAATTGGGCTGTTTTGACCCAGCGGTTGGGTTAAATGTTTAACCCAACCTTCTGGGTAGTAACCCAACCGCTGGGTCAAAACAACCCAGTTGCTGGGTTTGTTCCTATTTTACCCAGCATTTTTTGGAGTGTATGATTGTTAATTGCTGTAACTTTTGAGTACTCGGTTACTCATGCCCATCCTTAAACCAAATGTAATGATTTAGTATTGGTGCATCTTGAGCTAAAGCCATAGCCACAGAAACATAATTAAGAAACATAGGATACCATTATAATAAGCTTTATTACCTCAAATTCATAAGTTCATAAGTTTCATATTATCCTTAATCATTTTCAGTGATGGAGGGCTCTGAATTTGTCTTGAAATCTCTTTAGCACTACAAACTTTGCTACAGTACATCAAAAATTAAGCAAATGAACAATTAAAAAAATACTATTTGTTTCCTCTTTGATGCCAATATGTGTCAGAAATATTGTCAGACATGGCATGTTTTGCAGGAGAAAGTTTTTTCATTTTTAGCACTTTTTTTTGTTTGGCTGAACTAAGATGGCTGCCAGTATTTCCCGAACCTGATTTCTGTAGCTCTGAGGAGCTGCCTGACCTGATTACAGCATCACACACAAACACACTCAAGATAGTGGTACGTAGCTGCGGAAACGCGAGTTAATGAGGCTGTAACCTGAGAAACAGCAGAAGCAATGACACCGCGTCCCACTGTGATTGGGGAGCAGGCGACTTGTGCCAAGAGGAGAAATGCTGCACTGCATTATGAAACACAAACGCACACACGTATGGACATGCACACGTGTACACACACACACACACACACACACAGTGAAGGCTCTGTGACGGAAAGAGGGATGTAGATCGTTTTGAAAAGAGAATCAGGAGTGAATTTAATTTCATGTGTTTCTGCAGAGAAGAATGAACCTTTACACACTGATGCAGAGAGAGAGAGACAGTGAGTGTGTGTGTATATGTGTGTGTGTGTGTGATGGCGCCCTATTTTAGGAGGCTGGACTTCAGCCATGGCTCTGAAGAGACAGATACTCTCTTTACTTTGATCCCTTTCCATCTTACACATACACACACAGGCATAAACTGGCAAGGATGAAAGTTGAGGGTCAGAGCAGTAACACGTTCATGGATTATGTTACAATTGTATGTATAGGAGGGCGAGGAGCTGATCCAGGAACAGCCCGAGTTGCAATCAGTGGTGGAGATGAAGTTGAAGGAAATCAGAGAGTGCTGGTCTCACCTGGAGAACACCACCAAAGTCAAGGCCCGCCAGCTGTTTGAAACGCAGAACCACCGCACTATCGACCTGCCCACTAAAACCCTCAGCGACCTGGACCAGCATCTCACCGCCATACAGGAGCAGCCGCCCACACTAGGCTCCACCCAGAGCACCCAACCCACCCTCCTTCAGCCGCGCCCCACTTTCAGCCAGCAACTCCAGAGGATACAAGTGAGACCTGCAAAAGTGTTTGTTTTTTTTTTCATTTGGAAAATTGCAAATCCATTTTGTAATCTCACGTTATCTTCATTTCTTAGTCAATGGAAGCCCAGATGCAGCTTTATCAAGGTGTTGGTGAAGTCAGGGCTGGTGCTGATCACCGGAGACCAGAAAGAGAAGAGCAAGGAGGTGTGACGGAGACCCGAATCGTGCGTCTTATCGAGCCTCTGAAGGAAAGGAGGCGGATACTTCTCGCCTCAAAAGAATTGCACCAAGTCACCCAGGACCTGGAGGATGAGATTGTGAGTGTCACTTTCTATTCGCCATATAGTTTGTGATTATATATCAGTATAAATATATAAGAATAATATTCATCATATTATTCATTATTATTATTACTGAAACAAAATGAACAAAATAAAAAATATTAGATTATTTTGAAAAAAAAAAAAGTAATTGTAAACTTCAGCTTTGATAAAAGTCAACTGTAAAATTACAATACTAATGCTTTTGGCTTTTTTAATTTCTTAATTTTTAAACATTAACCTATAAAGCTTTTATTTTGTAAACCACAGGGAGCTTTTTTGTTGACAACAGCTGATTTGTAAGCGTTTTTCTGTACTGGTTTGGGAAGATGGTTGCGTTCCTAAATGCCCTTTATAGGTGACCCAAGCTTACAGCACATCCTTAGACGAGTTTAGTTGAAAGATGAGCTTGTATGGACTGTGAACTGAGCCACTCTGAGCCCCTAAAAACACTGGATCATGAGCTGCTCATGTGTAAAAGAACAAAGTGGCACTCCAAAACACACAATAGCTATGTTTCCAACCAAAGTTGCGAATTTAACTTATGCGCAAAATTGGAATATCGCATAAAACATTTATGAATAAAGCACCGTCTACATCCAACAAGTCAAAAAGTAAAAAAATCATCACTTCCTGATAAACTGGCACTAAATATCGTTAAGAAAAGTAGGAGAAGCCACTGTATATTATAATTTTTGCATATGTGACCCTGGAGCACAAAACCAAAAGTCATAAGGGTAAATTTTTCGAAATTGAGATTTATACATCATCTGAAAGCTGAATAAGCTAAATAAGCTTTCCATTAATGTATGGTTTGTTAGGATAGGACAATATTTGGCCGAGATACAACTATTTGAAAATCTGGAATCTGAGGGTGCAAAAAAATCTAAATATTGAGAAAATCGCCTTTAAAGTTGTCCAAATGAAGTTCTTAGCAATGCATATTACTAATCAAAAATTAAGTTTTGATATATTTACAGTAGGAAATTTACAAAATATCTTCATGGAACATGATCTTTACTTAATGTCCTAATGATTTTTGGCATAAAAGAAAAATCAATAATTTTGTCCAGGGTCACATATGATAAACTACTTGTGCCTCACGGCGAGCAGATGAAACACAATAAATGCGGTCATTGCTTTCGGAGGTGGATGCCTGCTATTTGGGAATGTATCTCAGGCATTTTAGAATGACCATAACATTTCAGATGCTGTGCAACGAGATCGGTCCGCTGGTTAGTCAAGTTATGCCGTCCCATCAGACAAGTCACAAGTCACATGACTTTTAGTTTAAACCACCTCAAGCATGTTGTGTACAAATTTTCTTGCAAATGAAGGGATTTTTTCCCCCAGAAATTTGGTGTTTCCATTGTTCGTTTCTGATGCGATTCTTCAAAATGCATAGTGACATAATGTCAGTCTGTAATTTTTGCATGGGTAAGCACCACTTAAATATTATTCAGAAAATATCACATTTGTTTACACATTCACATTTCTGTATTTTGGCTTCTTTAGGTATGGATTCAGGATCGGTTACTTTTGGCCTCATCTACAGAATATGGGACCAATCTGCAGAGTGTCCAACATTTAATCATTAACCATAAGGTGAGACTAAAGTTAAAAGAAAGACTATTGTATCTTTTTCTAAACTCTGATATAGGACACGATTCAAGTACATTCTCAGACAGGCAGTGGTGTTTCTGTGATAAAGTATAGACAACCACAGTGGGATATGCTCCCTTTTTTTACAATTAGTCACTAAATTATTGTGTTAAATTAACAACTTTAGTTTCAAGCCTTAAGCCATTATGAATGCCAAAACATGCACACAAAGTTTATAGCACCTTCATTAGGTTTTCATATACCCATCTACCCACAATTTTTAGGAGAAAGTGTCCATCTAAACAATTTGAAGGGTTAGCATTGATCACGTGACTTCACGTGAAGTCAGTAGCCTACTACTCTTTGCCCTGAGACAGTGAAGGTTTTGTCTCGTTTTGGGACACCAGATGCATCAGATATAATGTAACTCATCTGATGTAACTTCTACATTGTATGCTCATGTACATTATTTGCAGTGTTTGGCAAGTTACTCTGAAAATGTAATCAAATTACTGATTACTGATCTCGCGGGAGCAGGTCTCTAATCCACTGGCACTTGACTCGACAGTGCGTGAGCTACATCCTTTTTACAATCTCTAGATTATAAAACACTGCATTCTGTCAGCAATGTAACGCGGCAGTAACGTATAGAGACCTCGGCTTGTAACTATATTCTAATTACTATTTTGAAAATTATAACGCGTTAAATTACTGCGTTACTAAAAAAGTAATCAAATTACAGTAACACGTTACTAAGTAATGCGTTACTGCCCAACACTGGTTATTTGTACATTCATAAAATGATGTAAGAAGATATTTCCTGCCAACATCTGTTAACTATAAAAGACAGAGGGAGCAGAGTAAATGAGAGGTCTGGAAATTGATGTATCTTATAGGCCAAGAGCCAAATATGATACAAATGCCTTTTGGAGTCTGTCAATCAATTCACTCAGTAATCTTTAATCAGTTGGATTGATTATCATCTTAATTTGTAAAGGGCCGCTCACATCAAGGACAATATAACAATAACAGTGTTTTAATAATTGTTGTACTTCTATGAGAAAAGGGAAGTCCACACTCTAACTACATGTATGACAACACAAAGCAACAATATTGTTGAAATCATTTTCAAACGATTTTTTTCCATCTGATGAACAATAAAAAACATTGACAGCCAATCAGAATCCTCTTGACTTTAAAGAGCTCATGCATTTAAAGCAGCAGGCGACATAGCTGCAGCACACCCTTATAACAAACAGAATGTTATCATTGGTGTCGATCCTAATATAGTTATTGTTTTAGTCATCTTTATAGTAATCATTCTTGGTGTAAAAGCAGTTATTTAAGTATCATTAACACTAATAGTTTAGTATAGTTTTTATTAATATTTTAAATGTTTATATTTCTGTTTTCTACTTTCATTTTAGTTCAGCTTTGAGTAATTTTGTTGTTTTTGTCATTTTTTATTATTTTTAAAAAAATATGTCTGTAGTTTTTATTTATTTAAATTTATAAGCTTTAGTTCCCTTTCATGGGAACTTCGAACTGCGTCCTCTAGGGGTCGCTATGGGGAACGCCTCGTCGTGACCCGTGTCTGAAGCATACATTGAAAAAACACCAACTCGTTGGCCGGCGACAGCCATGACGTCACAACCGGTGCGAGTTTTAGGTATTTTAGTACTTAGAGTTGTACTAAAAGAAAATGAGATGTGTAACTGTAATGAAATAGTATTTTACAAATCTTTTATTTCAAAGTTTGTTTATTTGTTTTTATTTTGTAATGGAACCATTTTTTTAAATTACTGTTTTAGTTTTAGTTAACTATAATACATCTGGTTTGAACTGGCCTTAACTCTTTCCCCGCCATTGTTTTTTTTTTTTTAAGTTGCCAGCCACTGCCTGTGTTTTTATCATTTTCACAAAATTTTCATGGCCCCCATGAATAAAATATTTAGTTATATGAATATTTGAACATGCATTATGTCAAAAGAAAGAGCAGAGCCTCTGCTTTTAAACAAAACAAAACAAAGTTTTATTTAAGCTTCATATATATTTTTTTTTTATAAATGCTTGAATGTAGGTAAGTTTCATGAAAAAGCATTATTCTGCACAAAAAGATGAGAAAATCGCATTTTTGTAAAAGATTATGTCTGGATTCGATTCAGAACGATGATCAAATATAGATGGAGTAGAACACTCCCAAAGCTTGCACAGTCTTATACCACTTCCTGGGTCAACATTTCATTCGGTAACATTTTTTATTTATATGCTGTTTAATGCTTGATGATTGTGTTATTTTACATATGCATCTGCTTACATACGTGATCGTTTGTTTCGGCTTCTTCTTCGCCGTGTTTTGATCCAGGAATTCAGTACTCTTTCATAAGGTGTGTTATAGCGCCTCCTACTGTATAACAGTGAAAACACAGAAAGAATTCTGTCAGTGGCGGGGAATCCTCTCATAAATGATGGAAACTTACATCAATGGTTAAAAGCCAACTATTAATTAATTATTAATTACCTGTCGTTGTTTGATGTATCATTAGTCTTATTGCAAATTTCTGGATACAATTGAGGTTTAAGCCTGAATATATTTAATTCAGCTGCCCTTGATAGCCTGGTTCTCATGGCTTCTGATTCCAGTAATGTAATTTAGTTGGCCGTAGAGCTTTGACTGACAGCTCACTTGTGTATGATTGGACATGCAGGCACTGCAGACGGAGATGCAGGCTCAGAGGGGGCGGGTCGAGGAGGTGCTGGAAAGGGCGGAGGCCATTGCTGCCCTGCGGACCCCAGAGGTGGAGCTTGTGCGTGAAGGGGCGGGGCATGTGAGGCAGCTGTGGGAGGTGCTCCAGGTAGAGATGGAACGTCGCACAGTGATGCTGGATGCCGTGAACCATGCCCAGCAGTACTACACCCAGGCAGCGAAGGCAGAGTCTTGGCTCAGTGGACAGAAACTTCAGGTCCTTAATGAGGAGAAAGGAAACGTATGTACTGTACCTAAAACTCGGTCCATCTATAAATTAAATGACAATACTCAAGAATGTTGGGTTAAAGGTATAGTTCACCCAAAAATTTGAATTCTGTCATTAATTACTCCCGTAAGACCTTCATTCATCTTCGGAACACAAATTAAGATATTTTGATTAAATCTGAGTGCTTTCTGACCCTCCATATATAGCAAAGGAACTACTACATTCAAGGTGAACTAGGTTTTTGGGTGAACTATCTCTTTAATGTATTACAGTGTGTTAATACATTAAGGCTGATGATACACGGGCAACTTTTTGAGCAATGTTGCCGTCAGTGGGCAACCAGGTGAGACACAGGGCCCATGACCGATCTAAAATATCCAGATAGAAGTTTCTTACCCATTCTCAATGGGAAAGTACCCAAACTACATTGCTCCAAAAAAGTTGCCCGGCAAAATTGCTCAAAAAGCTGCCCTGTGTATCATCAGCCTAATGTGTTTACATGTGTATTTAAAAGAAGTCTTCTGAGTAGAGATGATAGCAGGGTTGTAAACTGTGGTCATTGTGATGTGGTCTGCTTGTCTTTCACTTTGTAAACCAAGATTTATTCTTTCTCTATCTATCCTCTTTGTCTGTAGGATGCGGCCAGCACTCTTAGGTTACTGAAAGAGCAGTTGGCATTAGAGCAAACAGTGGAGAATTATGCAGAGACAGTGAGCTCACTGTCCCAGCAGTGCCGTCGCATGCTTGAGCTGGGACATCCAGATAGGTAAATAAATATACACAGATGTGTGAAAAAAGCAAAAATTATTGATTTCTGAAGAATCGTGTGACACAGAGGACTGCTGAAAATTCTGCTTTGCAATCACAAGAATAAATTACATTTTAAAATAGAAAACTATTTCACAATATTACAGTTTTTATTATGTTTTTATCATATAAATGCAGCTTTAGTGAGCATAAGTCAAATTTGTTAAAATTCGACCCCAGATGTTGAATGTTCGATTTAACTGTTTATAAGGATGGAGTGTAACCAGAATAAGTTTTGCTGTCTATCTTTCTCTTTCTTTCTCTCGCTCCTCTCTCTCTCTCTCAGTGAGCAAATCACCAAACAGCAGGCTCATATAGACCGGCTATATGTATCTCTAAAAGACCTGGTGGAACAGAGGAAAACAAAGCTGGAGCAGCAATACTGGTTGTATCAGCTGAAGCGAGAGGTAGAGGCGCTGGAGAAATGGATCTCTGAGAGGGAGGCTGTCGCCAGCTCCACTGAACTCGGCCAGGACCTCGAGCATGTCGCGGTATCACCAGCTCACACACACACACACACACACACACACACATTGTCAAGTGTTTTGAACTCAAGGATGTAATATATACTGACATCAACTTTAAAATCGAGATGGGATCAATATTGACCCTGTTTACTTTATTAATCCTCCTATTCATTATTCTGCCACTGAAAGAATTTTCCTTTTCTGCTAATGTCACTTTGGTTGGAAATAATGCTAACCAAAAAAACAAAAAGCTGTATAGGCTACTGTTGAATGAAAATGCAGCCTTCCTAAACTCTTGCCAATAGTTAATGTGATATCAGATTTAATGTTGCAAATGGATAAAATCAAGTCCTGTGCTGTTGTTTTCCCCTGTTGAAGCCTCTGTGAGCTGATCTCTGACATGTCGTTTTGGTCCTGTTTAATTTTCCCAGGCTCTGCAGAGCAGCTTTACTCAGTTCTCCACTGAGACACGTGCAGTCGGCCAGAAACAGATGGATTCAGTCAATAAGATGGTGAATGAGATGATTGACTGCAGTCACTCTGATGCTGCCACCATTGCAGAGTGGAAAGATGGGCTGAATGAGTCCTGGGCGGATCTTCTGGAGCTCATGGAGACCAGAGCGCAGATGCTTGCAGCCTCGTACCAGCTACACAAGTTCTTCACCGACTGTCAGGAGGTAAACAAGCACACATACAGCCATTAAAACATGTTTTTTTGAAACCCATTCACAGTTGCCTGAAATATGAGGAATCATCATTGTGTCTGTGTTTGTGTTTTGTAGGTGCTGGTCCAGATCGAAGGAAAGATGAGACAGCTGCCAGAGGTGAGGTCATGTCAGGTGAGCTCAGCCAACCCTGGCACACTGCAGAGACTCCTGCACTCTTTTGAGCACTCCCTGCAGCTGCTGGTCTCACAGGTAAGACTCACACTAGCACACACACACACACACAAAACAACAACACCTGTTCTGACCAGGTGCAGCAGCCACGATAAATAAGTGTTTAGACTGGTTCATCTTCCTGACCCAGCAAGGGGTGCTTCCCATTTCAGTCCAGAAGCACAGTAACACTCAGAAACACAGTTACAACCATCACACAGTGCTGAATAACATGGAAACTTGTTGATGCCATGGAATAAAAAAATAGAGTTTTTTCTCGTAGTTGTATGTTTAAATCTCACAATTCTGACTTTTTCCCTCAGAAATACAAGTTATAAACTTGCAGTTGCAAGTTTACATCTCACAATTCTGACTTTTTGTTTTTTTGTTTCTGCCACTGAATAAAAAATAAAAAACATAATTGTGACTTTTAAACTCACAATTCTGATTACTTTTCTCGCAATTCTTAGTTTATATCTCACAATTCTGAGTGTATATCTCGCAAATATGACTTTTTTTCTCAGAATTGCAAAAAAAAAAGTCAGAATTGTGAGATAAAAAGTCGCAATTACCTTTTTGATTTTTCTATCCCATGGTTGAAACAAGCTTCTATAAAATACCTATCAGAATGAGTTAAATTAAATTTAAATTGTTTTAATAGTTTTAGTAAATGTTTTAAGTGACAAATATTTTTAGATGCCCCTAAGTGTCAGTAAATAGATACAAGTAATTTTTACCTTTGTTTTTACCTTTATCTCAGGTACGCCAACTGCAAGAAAACGCAGTTCAGCTGCGTGCGATTTATGCCGGAGAGAAGGCAGATGCCATTTTGTCCCGTGAGCAGGAAGTGATGCAGGCCTGGAAAGAGCTCCTTGTTGCATGTGAGGGCAGCCGTGTGCAGGTCACCACAGTAACCGATAAGATCCAGTTCTTCGCTGTGGTGCGGGAACTGAACATGTGGATGGATGGAATAATGGGACAGATTGGCTCGACTAATGATGCCAGGTACCAGATCAATTATAGAACCATCTGAGTCATCCTGAATCTACAATTGATTCATCCTGAAACGATTTAAACCAATCACAGTAGACCATATGCATCAGGATAATGTGTGTGCGTGTTTTTTTTTTTGTGTCTGGGCGTGGGTCTTGGTGTTGGGCGGGTCCTTGTGTACGTGTCAGGGACCTCTCTGTGCTGAATGGCATGATGTCCCAACATCAGAATCTGAAGAGAAAGATAGATAACAAGAGCAAGAACTTTGTGCATTGCGTGGAGATGGGAAAGATGCTGCTCGCTGCACGCAACCCTGCAGCTGAAGAGGTACACACATACTCGAACACTGAACCCTCTATGTGCAAACACATACATGGAACTAAAGTTAACCCGATAAGCTTAACTTTATTTTAATTACTATGTAATTAAAAAATCTACAGATATAAAAAGGAGAAATTTAAAAACAAAACAAAAAAGTTACATTTAAGAGTATAATTTTTGTCCCTTTCCATATTGCCAAATGATTTGTGCATAAATGACAATTTATATAGACTCGCATTTGTTTTTTTGTTTTAAACAAAGTTCATTTAGTTTATATCTCACAATTCTGAGTGTATATCTCGCAAATATGACTTTTTTCTTTTTTCTGACTATCCTTCTATAAGTGTTTTTAGAAGGTAGAAGAATACTTAAAAAAAAAAAAAAATGCTGGATTTGTCAAAGTTTACAGTGCTCACGGCATCATATCATAAGGCATTTTCCAAAAACACAAATGGCCAGGCTCATGTCTTAAAGTTTGCCTTTATATGGATTATGGGTTTATCTGAGCTTAATGTCACAGGGGCTGATTTTTATTAAAACATTTGACACAAAATACCATTCAAAAGTTTGAGGTTTGAAAGTTTTTTTTTTTTTTTTTTGAAAAACATCATGCTCACCAAGGGTTTGATAAAATATAAAGTAAAAACAGTAATATTGTGGATAGTAATATTCACATTTAAAATAACAGTTTGAAAATATTTTAAAATGTAACTCATTCCTGTGATGGCAAAAAAAATGAGTTACATTTTAAAATATTTTCAAACTGTTATTTTGTAACTCAAATTACTTGAGTCCAGTGTAACATGATCCTTCAGAAATCATTCTGATTTGCTGAGTTGTTTTTGTGGAAATCAAGATTTTTTTAGGATTCTTAGATGAACAGAATGTATTTGAAATTTGAAATCTTTTGTAACATTATACATGTCTTTACCTTCAAAATAATGCGTCCTCCATACTAACTAAAAGTATTAATTTTTTTTCAAAAAAAAAAAAAAAAAAATTCCATAAATACTGACGCCAGACTTTTGAACAGTAGTGTAAAGGTCTAAGGATTGAAATTTTGTTTCTCTTGCATACTGCACGTTTGCATACATTTTTGCATTTTGCATTGAACATGGATCACTTGCCATCAGTATTCTGCTTATAAATAATTACATACCCACCGATCCAGGTAAAGGAGAAGCTGGAGTATATCATGGCAAAGCAGAAAGATCTGAATGAGCGATGGGAACAGCACTGGGAGAAGCTTCAGCAAGGTCAGTGATGACATTGTTGTAACTTCATGTTAAATGTCTGCCAGTCTGATACTTTCTCAGAGTTATCCACAACCTTTATTTGTACCCTCCAGCCCAGCAGAGGCTGCAGTCCAACCAGCCGGGATCGGCGGAGCAGTCCTGGCTCACAATCAAGGAACCAATCACTCCAAATACCCGTGAGGCAGGTGGCGGGACAGACGAGGTGGAGGAGCTGATTCGCCGGCATGAAGCATTCCGGAAGGCCGCGTCCACGTGGAAGGATCATTTCAGCTCGTTACGCCAGGTCATTATGGAAACAGACTTGTGTATAAACAGTCAGCACCAGCACAGCACTGCAGAGGGTCTGAAGTAACAAAAGGGGCTGATGACATAACGCAGAGTAACATCCCCTGCTATATGTGAAGTGGCCCATTCGTGTATTTGTCTGGCATAAACAAACCTGCTGTTGCTACAGCTATGAAACTAAAAGCTACTGAGCAACTAACAGATAGGAAAGCATTGAATAATATTACTATATAAAACAAAAAGAAAAATTGCCTAGGTCAACATTAAAAAAAAAAATTGTTTTAGAACACCAGATCTGTCTTAAAGATACACATTTTCAGCAGGCCTGCATGAATACAGACAAGTTACCATGATACCACCACAACCAAATATATTTAATTGTGTCTACAGTACTTTGTGACTGCTTCACACTCATTGCGACCCATTTAACAGATGCATAATGGTAAGTGAGAACAGCCTGAACTGCAACCGAGACAACAATAACAATGCAGTGAAATAAACTAATTACGACCAAATATCAAGCTCACTGAACATGAAAAAAATACTTCATCATACCTTTTGCATACTCCGTAAATATGCATTCTTAATGGCATGGGAAGTTCAATGCAATGTAGGTTCAAATGTGTCAAATGTGCCCATCAAAATGTGACTTTGTGAAACACTGTCCTAAACTAAAATGTTGCTGTGTAGTAATCTAATATTAATGTTAGAAAGCTAATGCACTTGGCAATTGTGACTTTTTTTTATCCCTTTTCACATTAACCGTGACTGAGGGGGCAGGATTGTTCGGTTGACGTGGAGCTGGCCCTGCATATAAATAACATAAAATTAAGATCTACAATATCTTTCTCTCTCTTCTCCATCTGCAGGCAGAGAAAATGAAGGAGGAACTGAACAAGCAGCCTTCTACCTCCTCTCTCCTCAGCAGGCAGATGTTCCCTCTCTCCTGTCTTGTGCCCAGCTCCTCTTCCTCGTCTTCATCCTCCTCTCTCTTCCGTAACCCTCTTCAGGACTCATTTCTGGAGTCCAAGCCCGGGCCGGACTTCATGCACACCACAGAACACACCATGGTGAACACACTCGCTCAGCGGCTCGGATCCACCCTGAACCCTTACACGCCCATCATGAATGGCTCCTCGTACCACGGGCTGAACCAGCCATCAGGGGGCATGGCGGAGGGTCTTTCCTACCATGGGCTAAAACAACAAATTGTTTCAGGGTTGGATAATTCTAGCTATCAGGGGTTAAACCAACAAGTTGGTGTCTTGGGGGTGAACAGCTCCAGCTACACTGGACTTAACCAACAGGGTGTTTTAGCAGAAGACAGCTCCAGCTACCACAGCCTGAACCATTTAGGTGCTGTGGGGGTGGGAGTGGAGCCCAAACTGGGATATGCTTGGCAGCACCTAAAAGCTGACTGCTTTCAGCCCAAAATCAACCACATTCACAAAGCTGTTCCACCTTTACTGGAGGCGCACCGAGCCCAGCTCGCCGGTGGAGCAGCAAACATGCCAGCTCCTCCTATGGGCCTGGACCCCTCCCTGGAGATGATCCACAGCCGGTTACAGAGAGACCCCCGCGGGAGCCGATCTGACCCGCAAATGGATCACTTGAGGCGGGAGAGAGAGTACCGGCTTGGCCGACAGACCTCTAGCGAGCAGGAGATCCAGGCACGACTTAACGAGCTCCCACTGATTGTAAGGCAGGAACGCTACCGTCGAAGAATGGAGAGACAGTCGTCTAGTGAGCAGGAGGGCAGCGGTAAGCAGAGAGTACAGAAACATGACTCCAGCGATGCAGAATCTGGGAAAGAGCCATCTGACAAGAGACCATCTGGGTGAGTGTTTGTGTATGTGTGTTTGCTTGGCTATATTTTGGGAACAAAACCTCCTTTCTGAGATGCCTTAAAAGTAAAAATAGTTCCTAAATTATGTAAAGGAAATTTTAATCTAAAAACCAAAACGTTTGCTTTTAGGGGTACGTTTAGTGTTTGGGTAAGTGTTAAAGATCCACATGAGGAGAGTAAAACCTGAAATCAGCCAATAGTATCAATGAAGCTTAATAAACAAAAGTAATGAAGTGTTGTTATTGTTAACTAAAACTTTTAACTAAAAGTGTTGCCCTTGCTTATTTAAAATGATAATATATCATTTTCAGTAATTGAAATAAAGCTGGAATAAAATCTGAAAATTAGAAACGCTGCCGTGGCAACCAACTGAAATAAAATAAGATGAAGTGCTAAAATTACTAAAATAAAACTGAAATAAAAATAAAGCTAAATGACAAATTAAAAGGAAACCTAATTAAAAATATTAATAATAGTATATAGAAAATAATAATAAAAAAGTTTTGAGTATAGAAAATAGAAATAGCCCAATATAAAAACATAGAACAGTCAAAGTCCCCGCCATGATAAAATAACAAATGTGTGTGTGTGTTCTCTTATTTGTATAACTTAGTTGGCTTTCTCATCTTTTTTTTTTTCTTTTAGGGAGAAGCGTTCCACTATGGCTGAGATTGTTGAGCAAGTGCAGGAGAGAGAAGCTTGTCAAGTATGTGTTGAGTCTGTACTGGAATTTAATATTTATCATAGATTTAATTCACATCATGCATCATATTCCCCCTCACCATTTTAATGCATCATCTACACAATTAGTAATACTTTACCGTTCAAACGTTTGGGGTCAGTATGATTTTTTAAAGGTTTTGAATGAATTGAACTCATACAGTTGATGCTCACTAAGGTTGCATTTATTTAATCAAAAATACAGTAAAAACAGTAATAATAATTTTTAATAACATTTTTCAATTTAAATATATTTTGAAGAGCCATTATTCCAGTCACATGTTCCTTCAGAAAATATGCTGATTTAGTGCTTAAGAAAGTGATGCTGAAGCTGATTTAGTGCTTATTTTTTTCTGTAAGATCTTCACGTTTTAAAAAAAAATAAACGTATTAATTTTCAAAAGAAAAAACAATCTTAAAGGGTTAGTTCACCCAAAAATGAAAATTAGCCCATAAATTACTCACCCTCAAGTCATCCTAGGTGTATATGACTTTCTTCTTTCAGACGAATCCAGTCGGAGTTATATTAAAAATGGTCTTTGATCTTTCAAGCTGTTTAATGCCACATTACATTCCAGTGTACAACAGTGAGTACAAGCTAGATTAAAGTGATTATTACGTTTTGAATATGGATATTTTTCTTACAAAAATGCATCGATTCGCTACAGAAGGCCTTTGTTCACCCCCCTGGAGCCGTGTGAGACACTTTTTTTTTTATGGATGGGCGCATTTTATTTAACTGCTTTTGGACGGATGCATGCAACACCCGCTGAGTGGCATTAAACAGCTTGAAAGATCAAAGACCATTTTTAATATAACTCCGATTGGATTCGTCTGAAAGAAGAAAGTCATATACACCTAGGATGACTTGAGGGTGAGTAATTTATGGGCTAATTTTCATTTTTGGGTGAACTAACCCTTTAATGACCCCAAACCTTTAAGCAGAAGTGAATGTTCAGGCGATTCTTGTTTTGAAGAAAATCAGTCCACACACAGCTAAAGTTTACAGTTTAAGTATTTTTCTACCATTTGTGTCATGCAAAGAGAAATAAGAGTAGACTCACTGCAGGTACAGTGCCTCTGGAGTATCTTGGTTCGGTGTCTTGCTCAAGGGCACAATAGTGATAGAGCAGAATTGTGATCTCAGTAATTCTCCACTTTCTGGGTCACCTTGCATCCTCTGAAACTTGGGACTGATCCCCAAACATTTTTGTCAGCAGCTCAAACTCTTTAAGTATCTCTGTACATTTGATTGTTCAGGTAAGAATGATCTTATGCAGACTTTGAGTTTGCTGTATGCAGATACAGTATTTATATATTTTTATTTGGAGATGGAAGATTTGACAATGTGATGCACAACACGCCTAATTTCCATATACAACCATTTAATATATTTTTTATAGTTCACTATTTTGTTTTCTTATAATAAACGATTCTGCTTCATACATTCACAAAGTGTATTTTTCAGGCGAGGGGAGAGGTGTATAGACCCTCCAGCAGCCTCTCTGCACCAGTGAGCCGTCTGGATCGCCCTCGAGCTCGAGACCGCCCCAAACCACGACGAAGACCTCGTCCAAAAGAGCCTGAGGAGCCACGGAGGTCCCGTTCTGCACCTGCTCAGAGCGTCCCATCCACACCTCAGCCTCCTGCCCACACCGTTCAACATGAGGGCTTCCTGTACAGGAAACACGAAGAGGAGGGGAAAGAGAGAAGCCCAAATAGGTGTGTTTCTTCTTACTAGCTGATAAAAATCGCAATGTCCTGACATGATCTCTATTTACTTTTTTCACGATTTTCCCCCAGTAGCTATAATTTTATTATATATAATCTAAGTGCTTTTCGTCGCTACTGCTAATACACTAGAAATCCTGTTACCAAGCTAATAGCTAATTATGCTAATGTTAACTGTGTTCAGAATAGCATGCATTGCTAGTAGATAGTATACGAACACAGTACGCAAGCATAAATGACATCTGTTGTTGTATATTAACTTGATGCTGCATGACCTACCCTGCCATTTTACATGCTAGAGAAAGATTGCATTCTGGTAAATGATGTACCTCATGGTAAATAGCATGGTGAATAACCACTAACTGAATTTGATTTATTTAGAGTGATCTGGAAATACTGAATGTATACTACATCCAGTATAGGGTTAGGGTTGTATACGGCATGCGGTTCATCATTCAAATGAATTATGAATAGTGAAAGATGTGGCAACAAATGAATCCATCATTTAAAATGCATATTGTGATCAACCACTATTTTGAATATTGGAGGGGACTTATCAATTGTGGTCATGGCCTAATAGTGCATTAGAAATGTCATTATGAGTGTATTTGCCTGCTAATAGCAATATTAAATGCCTTGGTGAGGCCTAGTAACTCACAAAGTTATTCCTAACTTTCTAAACCTCTTGCAGCAAGTCGTGGGTAAATCTGTTCTGCGTGCTCAAACAAGGGGAGATCGGTTTCTACAAGGATTCCCGACACAAAACAACACCCTACAACGATGAGCCACTTCTCAACTTGGCCATCTGCGAATTTGACACTACCAACGGATATAAAAAGAAGAAGAATGTCTTCATTCTCAGGTAAAATTAACTCAGTGCGATCTTTAATGACTACCGTACTGCCTGCTAATCTAGCTAAAAAAACAGCGACAAATAACCATGCAGGAATTTAATTTTAAGAAAAGATGCCATTAAAATCCCAGTGCTTTTTGCAGTTTTTGTGTTAATTTATTTCCTATTGAAACAAAAAGATATGGGGTGGGACATACTGAAGGATTGCCCTTTTTTTTCTTTTTTTTCTTTTTTTTTAAATAAATGAATGCTTCAATTCAGCAAGGATGCGTTAAATTGATCAAACGTGACAGAAATCTTTGCAACATTGTTACTCTGTAACTTTACATTTAAAATAACTGCCTTTTTAAACTTTTTATTCATCAAAGAATCTTGAAAAAAAATGCATCACAGTTTGCACTAAAATATTAAGCAGCACAATGGTTTTCAACATTAATAATAATAAGAAAGTTTTCTCGAGCACTAAATCGGCACATCAGAATGATTTCTTAAGGGTCATATGACTCAGAAGACTGGAGTAATGGCTGCTGAAAACTCAGCCTTTCCATCACAGGAATAATTTACATTTTAAAATAAATTAAAATAGGAAATGTGATAATATTTCACAATATTACTGTTTTGCTGTTGTTGTAATTAAATGCAGAATCAGTGAGCATAAGGGACTTCTTTCAGAAACATTTGAATTGTAGCGTACTGTATGCCAAAGCCACAAACACTTAATTCTGTATGATCTTTCCCTTTGAACACTTTACCACTTTTTATAAATGTATGTGTTTCTAATGTTTTTTAAGGACCACTGCTGAAGGGGACTACATCTTCCTGGCTAAGGATGAGGTATGTCAGACAAAGCCGCACATGAGTGAAAAAGATCAGAGCTGTTTGGTAAATATTCTGCCTATTGTGGTCTATATTACAAGAGTGTGTGTGTGTGTTCTGTCTTACAGGAGGATCTGAAAGGTTGGGTCAACAGCATCAACGCTAGCCTGAAGGAGATCGAAGAAATCGCCAAGTGGGAGAAAGCCACAAACTCCTTCACCGACCCCGACAAATCAGAGCGGAAGGAGCGTTCTGAAGGGGCGGAGCCATCTGAGGGGGCAGAGAGATCAGAGAGGTCAGAGAAGTCTGAGCGTTCAGACCGATCGGATAAAATAGAGGCATCGGACAAAAGCTCAGAAAAGAGGGACACACCCGAGAAGGTGAGAGGAGATAGAGCTGAAAGAGGAGAGAGGGGAGAACGAGGAGACCGGGGTTCCAGGGGTTCCAGCACTTCGGGAAAAAGCAAATGACTCATCTCTCCACACCTTTATTTACTCATCCATCCCTCCATCTTTCCAGAGAGAAGACCGGACTTGCATTTCTCTGTCTCTGTCGCTCTGTTTGTCCTGACAGCCTGATTTCAGGACCGACGTATTTAATGTGTCGATGTGCGTCTGTGTGCGTGTGCCAATGTGTTGAAGAGATTGTCTGTGAAAGAATACGAAATGAACAGTGTAAGGCCGTATCCCAGCATCAGAGGGCCAGTTCAGCCGCCCTGCTCGACTCTCACAGAAAAGGCACTTTAGATTATTGAGGATGACTATAGCCCTTAATATTTTAGAAGCGTTTTCTCGAAGCAATATACTGTACGTAGTAACCGATGCCGCTCGTTTTAGCTGCTCTGCTCTTCCAAGCGAGTGCGAGAGAGAAAGTGACAGAGAAGTCTTTCAGAGAGAAATCTGGTGCGGTAGTAGGGTAGTAGTAGTTCCTCCTGATCGACATCCTTGCACAGCCCCACACATGCATACGCACACGCACTGTGCATCATGGGAAAATGTTTGCTATGGAACACCATTCTCTCACCCGAGGCCGTACACGTCTTCCACCTGCTGCTTGTAGTAATGGTTTTTAATCATGCGAGACACTTCACAGTACTCTGGTCAGTCCAAATTACACTCGATGAAGAGTCTCGATCACAAAATGTGAATATAATGTGGCAGTGTGTGTGTGAATACAGCTCCATCCAGAAGGAAATCAAATGTACTATGTATAATCTCATTGATCGTATTTATTAGGTTATCACGATACAAATTTAAAGTGTGAGGTTATTCTTCCCTGAGCTAAGAGGAAGTACGATCAAACACCCCCGTACGTGTACAAAAATGCTGCTTTTTATCATCTCTGCCCCCTTACATCACTCTTTGATTGTAAAATGATTAGTACACATAAAATAGGGTGTCTGTGACTTCCAGTAAAACATGCAATATTGATCTGCATTTTAAATACAGCTGAGCTGATCGTGTGCGCTTGCTTTCAGAAATAAGTGAGTTCCTGCTGTTACAGAACACATACCCTATGACGACAGAAAACAGTCGCACACCCTTCAGTCAGGCTTAGGGTCAAATCTGCTACTGAGTGGATATGTATTTGGTCATTGTCATAGAAACTGCATAACTAGAGACTAAGCTTGTTTTGCACTGCGTATCGGTGTCTGATAAATGTAATTGAGGGTGAATGAATGTCTGTTAGCAAATTGTTGCTGTGTATGTCTCTGTCTTGCTGAAGCAACCTCACTCCTAACAACCAGTTTACCAACTCTCCCCCTCCCAAAGCATTAAATAACAATTTGGACTAATTTTACTTAACTTTTTGACTCTTCTACATATCCAACATTTGTTTCAGAGTGACCTTGACTATGGTCTGCCTGCAAAAAGCACAATTTCTCCCTGAACAACAATCTGGAGTATTAGAAAAGAGCATGATCCATGCATTTCTTAAAGCTGCCACATGAGTTCAGTGTTGCAATGGCTAAAATAATGTTTGTTGAACCCTTCGATTTACCTTTTTTTAAACACACATATTTGTCTGTGTTTTTTTTTCTTCTCAGACCATGTGGTCAGGTTTTGCTTTGCTAAGCCTTGCTTTGTTTCTCTCCAGCTTGACCTCACCAGTAAGTATTTACATTTCAATTCATTGCTGAAAGAATGGAGAAAAAAGCCCTCAAATGTATGGAGTGTGTGGGTTGCCCTCCTTTATTTGAAGTCAGTTGTTTCACACATGAAATAAAAAAAACACTATTAAGTTGCATGAAAGAGAATATAGAGGTGATTTCTATGCAACAACTGTGCATGTTTATCAAAAGGGTTTCAATCTTCAGCAAAGCACTGAGTTTGGATGATGATGATGATGATGATGATGATTTTGGTTTGGAGTTTGCTTTTGCAGGTTTGCTTAAATTGTTTCTTCATCTATAAAAATAGTTTGAACATATTTGATTATACACTAATGAATATTTTACAGTCCACTTTTAAAGGTAACCTTTATATTTAAACTATAATTAACGGAGGATTTTTGGTATTCTATAGACGTCTAAAGGTTTGTGTTCACTTAAAAGGCAATTCTGAAGTACGTTGGGGCTATTTTTTATCGTTAATAAAGGTTTTGAGACACTAGATGGCGCCACCTACCTAAAGAGATTTTAATGCTCAGACTTAAAAAGTGCACTGCATTGTTCGTGATTTGCCACAGTTTTTGTGTTATTTTCAGAAGACAGTCTGCATTCTTTTAGTTTTCTCTTTTATTATAAATTTACCATATGCATCTAAGCAAGCATCTACAAAAGCTGTATAGTTTCTGTATAGTTACTGGGTGTTGGGGAAACTAAAACAAGCCCTATAGATGGAGAGTGTGGGTTGCCATCCTGTATTTGAAGTTACTTCTTCCACACATGAAATTAAAGAAAACATTATTAAGTTGCATTGAAGAAAATATTGAGGTGGTTTCTATGCATTTAATAGCTAATAATCATTTATTAAACAAATGAATCACATTTGTCTCTGTTTAATACAGAACACAAAGCACTATTGACCCTTGTCTTGTCATGGTCTTCCCAGATGGAATCCAGCTTGAAACAGGTCTGTTGAATAATTTGTCTGCTTCAAGTAAGAAAGACTTTTAAGGTGCATTACTGAGCATGAGGACATACAGCAGAGAAAACAGAAATCATACATAAGCATCAAATTTTTCACATTAAAGCAGAAAAAGTTAATTTTTTTTCTTGACAGAAATTAAATAATATAGACTATTTAATGACAAAAAGTGGCTTTAACCTACTTGACATGGACATATTTTGACACCCCTTTTCCTCCCCTGTAGAGAATCATCACAATGAGCACATGATGAGTGATGTTTTTCAAATGATTTTAAAGCATTTTTCATGTTTTGGAGCATCTTGTCAAAAACAGTAAACAAATTTGCTGCGATTTGCCTTTTACACCAGGAACCTGCTGCATATATTTTCATTTTCACTTTAGCAACAGTAAATGACTCTGTGGCGGAACAAGATTTTTATACATGGGCTGGCCAGTACGGGTGCTATAGTTCAGGGATGCAGGAATAGACCATGAAGAAAATCAATGTGTAATCCTATTATCGCATCAAAAAAGCATGAATTAATCATATGATTACTGACAAAGCCGAGCGAGGTATAAGTGATTTACGTAGGCTATTAGTTCAGTGTGGCAGATGTTTTCCAGTTTTACTCATTAATAATGAGTAAAACTAGTTGTAATTTGTGTTTGTTCATATTTGATGACTGACTGTTCTCTTGTCAATTATAATGTTTGAATATTAGGCCTATTAGTTAGGCTAGTAGTTTTTACTGTGTCATTAAAGAAGTACTTGAAGTGTCATGCTTCTGAAGTGAACCATCAGCTTCAGTGCAGAGCAGGTAGACTGCAGGGCCTGTAGAGCAGTTGTGTGTTTGTGTAGGGTGCCACAAATTGTTGAAGATTTTGAAAGGGTGCCATGACTGGAATATGTTGGGAAATGCTGCTTTAAATGACCTATTCAAAAAGTCATCAGTTACAACTTCCTTTTGAAATAAACCAATGATTCAATGACTCATTCTTTAAGACAGTGACTTGCCGCCACCTACTGGTGGTCTTAGTTTCATATGTTATGTAATAATATATTATGTATGTATGATGCACTTTTTTTTAGGTCTGTATTACTGATTATTAACATAAACCTTATTTAATAAAAAATATTTTCCACAGTTAAACACAAGACACAAACACACTTTACAGTTTAACACCAAATTTACTCTGATTTGTAATTATAAGTATTTTTCTTATTACAGGCAAAGATTAGAGTAAAGGCACAGTAGCAGGCAGAATCTATCAGTACATCATGCAGATTAAATACAGTATAGCTACTTAACACCAACACAGAAACAATTCACTGAAAATCTCTTAATTAAATACACAGAATTTAACTAGTTATATTTGCCTCTGCATTAATGTAAGGAATTAGAAGAACTGAACGTTAGTTTGTTATCATACATGGACTTTGCTATGCAGCAAGAAGAGATTTACTCCTTTGCACACTCATTGTCAGGTCATTTATTTGCATTCATTAGTAGCCAATAGGACTTTTGAACTATTCAGTATTATGGTTTGCACAGTAAATGCCTGTCAACATGCTAGGCTTCTGTAAATACAATTCATGCACATGCTATGAGTCAATAAAACAAAGACAGTGACTTGTCTGAGACAAATGACATCTGTTTTTAGTTCACTGTGGCTGGAATAAACTGGATAATAATTAGACACAAGCTAAAGCGGATCTCAACAGTGAAGAGTTGAGGTATGTAGTTGTCAGAGTCACAGGATCTTTCTGAATGGTTGATGAGGTGATTTATCGATCCTCGGTGTCATTCTGCTACCCGTCCTTAGTGGTCTCTAAACTATACAAAACACAGAATTTATTGTTACTGTGATATACATTCAGTTATTACCTTTGAATCACCTCCTGCTTGAAGTCTGCAATAACTAATATTATATTATAATATTAAGAAACTTCTTAACTAATATTAAGAAGTATTACTTTATTTTTTATCCAGTCTGCAACTGCAGAAATTGCTTCCTGATTTTTTTTGCAGTCAGGCAGTCCTTCACCATCACAGAAAATACAGTCCACCACTAAAACATCCTGGCTTTTCACACATCCACTGCTGTTTGGCACAGAGTCTGAATCCAATGTCTTATGGAGAAAAATGACAACAGCAGGCTTATCTGAAGACAAAAAGAGAGAAAATTATTGTCAATAGACCTATATTATAATGTTGAGAAAAATCATGCGCAATGAAGAAAAGCTGAAGAAGCTCATTTTAAAAGAAAGCAGATAATTTACCAAACTAATATCAACCTGATCAGTACTAAAGCTAATGAACACATTTATTCAAGATGAGAGTGAATAATAAAAATATTTATGGCGTCTTTGTTTTTCCAATTTTTAATTTTCTAAAATCTCACCTGGTCTCTTTTGGTACTCTTGTAATGTTGCATTGATGTCAGATGGTGAACAAACAGGACAGAAGTGCAGAATGATTTCACTGTCCTGCACTCTAGGAACATTCCTCAGCTGCACCCGTTTGTCTAAAGCTCCTGTAAAGTCCTCATCACACTTGCATGTGTCTTTAGTCACATGGATAAAACAATTAACTGGACGGGAGGAACTGCATGTTATCTCTTGCACATCTGGAAAAAAAAAACCTTTATAAAACCAGACCGTGATATAAAGTCACATGAAGTACATTTTTAACTCATGTTAAAGAAACACACATTGACTGAATATAGGGTTTATGGAATAACATATTCTAAAAATAGCTGAAAAAATAAGCGAAAAATGTTCCTCATGTAACATCTAAATTAACTGATTTTATTATTTTTTTTCTGAGAGTATATAACTCACTATATTAGGTTACAATAGTAATTTTTAAGGGTCCAGATTCCAAAAAGAAAATTCCATTTCTAAGACATTAATTTGTAGTATTTTTGGATAACATATTTATTTATTTGAGATGTGATATATTGATTTAAAATTTTGTTTTGATTAAAGTCATAATTATATCATATGTAACCAAAGACAGTAATTTTAACCTACTAGATTTCTGTTTTGGAGGTCCCACTGCCCATGCCTGTCCAGAAAAACGGCATTAATAAATATGAATGGTCGTTTTCAGTGTCATAGTTTTTAACTATAATATATATATATATATATATACACACACATTTTCAACCAAAGGAGCACAACTACAGTGCAATAATCTATAATAATCCACTTCATGTCTACTCATATGTTCATATGTTTTGTGTAATCTGAAACACTGGCTATCAAAGTCTGTACGATATGTTAATTGCACCCCAACAAAATAACAGGTAATTTCTGCATTAGCCAGTATTTTTGCTCTTCTTCTGTGTTGGAGAGAAAAATTCCTGGATATACTGAAACATTATATTAGCTTTGTTCAGAACTATTGGACCTGACAGCTCTTAAGCACTTAAGTTCTACTTAATGATAAAGCTGTTTAAAGAAACAGGTGTTACTCAACCATAAAATAAAATATGAAAGTTGTAGAAAAAAAAAAGAAAACTTATTACATCAGTTCTTCATGCCAAACTATAGGACATCAGAAAGCTGCTGTTTATTCTGAAATACATGTTCTGTTGCACTGTAGTGTTTTTATAGACAGTCAATTTCAGAAAAGTGTTTGTTCTTACCGGTGTGAAAAATGTCAATATAAAGCTGTTTAAAGAAACAGGTGTTACTCAACCATAAAATAAAATATGAAAGTTGTAGAAAAAAATTGAAATTGAACAGTGTATTTTACAAAAATCTTAATATCTTAATACATGTAAACTTATTACATCAGTTCTTCATGCCAAACTATAGGACATCAGAAAGCTGCCGTTTATTCTGAAATACATGTTCTGTTGCACTGTAGTGTTTTTATAGACAGTCAATTTCAGAAAAGTGTTTGTTCTTACCGGTGTGAAAAATGTCAATACATCTGTGAAGATAGATGATTTGTCTGTTTCAAATAAGGGACAGTTTAAAAAAATTAAAGTGTGTTACTGAGAATTAGGACATGCAAATGAAAAAACAAAACATAAATAAGCCTAAATAATAAGAATTAATAATACTTTATTTAATAATAAAGTGACTTTAACCTACGTTGACATGGTGATATCGTGATGCCTATTTTTGCCCCCTGCAGAAAAATTGCAATATGAGCTTAATTAGTAATATGTAATGTGTTCAAAACATTTAAGAGCAGTGTTCATATTTTATGGAGCATCTTGTTACATACCTGTTGTAGTAACCAGTTCACAGTTTTGTCAGCTGCATCTGAATTCTTCGGACACTCCAATAATCCTGTATCCTCATTGAACAGACAGTCCACTGTGAGTATGTCTGTCCTCTTGACATATCTACTGCTGTCTGGGACCATTTTCTCTGGGTCAAACGTGTGATGAAGCACCACTAGAACACCCAACTTAGCTTCTGTTCAGGAAATTTAGACAAAACAAATTTGTCTAATGTCCTCAGTGTGATGAAGCACCACTAGAACAGTTAGCTTAGAATCTGTTTAAGGACATAGACAAATTAAAGATAATTTAATCTGAAATGCTTATATACGTATCACTTTGAGGCAGTGTATTCTGAGAATTAATAACTTTATTTAAAATAGTGTGACGATGATAATCAAACAACCTGTAGAGTAATCAACCTTGTTCAGTGCTGCTTCAATATCAGTTCCAGCTCGAGAAACAATAGGACAGAAAACTAGAATAATGTCACTCTCGTCCACTGTACGACCTTCCTTCAGATTCTCAATACGGTTTCTCAAAATGTCGAAAAATTCCTTCTGACAGTTTTTTATCTTTCCAGCCAAAATGGAGAACACTTTGACCTTTTCTGGAAAATGAATTGGGATTGAATAAGAAAAACAGGGAAACGTACAAATATGATCAGACCAAAATGAATGCAAAATAATAATACACTTTTAAAAATGAATTTCATATTCTAGGATGTGTCCAAGATAAGATATTCCATTCTACAATAACTCTTGACAAAAATAAAAAAAAATGTAATATGTGTGACTAGACAAGCAATTATTGTGAGAGATCCCTCAAAAGATACAAACTTACTTGTACTAGTTTCGTTGTTTCCCATTTTCTGCCTCTGTATATTTTACAGACACACAACTTATAGTGTATTCTGTATTGAATAAATCAAGTTCTCTGTGTTTAAAATTCATGTACTTTAAGCATTCTAACAGAACTCACCTGCCAATAAAGCAGAATTTGCCATTTTTATTCTCTCCTTATCAGTCCATGTTTTGTCGATCTGTTGAGAAGAACATTGAGAACACTGAGAGAAGAATATTGTCCATCAACCTTTCATGAAATTCCTGAAATATCCTATAAAAGAAATACTCAGGCAGTTCAGAAACAATGGACAATCAAGAGAGTTTCACCATTTGATTATAAATTCAATATTGTTATAATCATTTACTAAACTCTTTTATTATGCTTAAAACCTGTTAAGAGTGTCAGAACAAATATACATAAATGTCCCTATTGTACCCAGCTTTTGTATCCAGTTATATAAAATGAGTCCGTTCAAATATGTTTATATTGTATATAGAGGAGCAAGTGTTGAATATAGTAAGAAAAAACTTGTGCTAAAATGAGTGGTACAATGGCTTGTCCCTTTAAGGGTACTGCCCATGTGACGTCGTTGCACCTTATGTACCCATAAAATGTTCACTGTAGTATCTTAGGGTACATTATACTACTCTACTAATATGCACCTATGGCTAGATAAGGTAGAAAGTAGACGGAATTGGACAGCAACAATGTTCTACCTACAGATAAAGTGCTTTCTTTTATATATAAAATGCAAATGATTTTTTTGAAATGACAAATAGAAACTTAATGGTAACTTAAATGGCTACTTAAACCTTATTGGATCATAGAGACCTACAAAATATACTTTCAGTTATTTAGTGTTGGGGGTAACGCATTACAAGTAACGTGAGTTACGTAATCGGATAACTTTTTTTAATTAACTAGTAAAGTAACGCATTACTTTTATAATTTAAAAGGAAATATCTTAGTTACTTTTTC